GGGGCAGTATAACCAGGAACTGGGACTGGGGATAGGACAGATTACTGAATCTCCTCCTTGCTGGTACCTGTTTTTCCTTATCCCCTCCCCTGGAGATAAAGGGGACCTTTATTTACTTGGGCCCTCAGAGAAGGCATAGGTGGGGGGTTCCTATGCCTCCCCCCAAAACTCTTCCATTTTTAAACTTTTCATTATTAATTAATTAGTATCTGTTTATTTACTTATTTGGTACTGGGCACTGAACCATTGAGCTACATCCCCAGTCCTTTTAATTGTTTTATTTAAGAGAGGATCTTGCTAAGTTGCAGAGGCTGGCTTTGAACTTGCAATCTTCCTGCCCCAGCCTCCCAAGTTCCTGGGATTACCTGTGTGTGCCATAGCACCTGGCTTTGCACTATATTTGAGAAAGATCTGGAAGACGATGAGTTTTTATGACTGCACAATCAAGAGGGTCTTTCTTGGGTCTCATTTGTCTTGTAATCTACAGGTGGAGGTCTGGGTCAGAGGCTAAGATCTGATCCTGACTGGCCTGAGACTTTCCCAGACTTTCCCAGAGCATGAAAGTCCTGTGTCCCAGGGACTTTTCTGTCCTGGGCAGATCAGGATGGTTGGTCATCCTTGTAGAGTCATTTGTGACCAAGGCTCCCAGGGGTTCTAAAGGCTCATACAAGGCCCCACTCAGCTATTAAGAACTCATTCACTTTTTTCCTACTCTTATTGCAGTTCCCTCTTCCTTCTGTACTTTGCCCAAAGTGAAATGGTTGATGTGCTGGGCTCACCTTTGGGAATCCTGCTCCTTGGTTGCTTTTCTATCTCAGTTCATTAAAGGGCTCTGCAATAGCCACGACTGTAAATTGGCTGGATATTTCTCATTGTTCGGCTTTCCGCACACTAAGTGGGAACAAAACAGCCCCTTTACTTTTACAGAATTGAACTGAGGCATTATGTTACAGTCCTCTCAGGAGGGCATGATAAGAAGCTGGACAAAACTGACCACTGCATTTGTTGTAAAGGTGTTCCCCACATCACAGTGAAGAAATGTATCATCAGCCTCAAAACCAGTCATAGTCAAAATCTCAGGACAGGTACTTCCTTGGTTTTGTTTTGTTTGCGTTTGATTTTTAGTCTCATGAGCTCAGTAAGTTTACCTGGTTTCGTTTCTTTGAGGATTCAGCACCCAATCGACTCCTCGCTCTTAACCACGTCCGTAATCTCTGGCTGTGCACTTTTGCTCTCTAGCTTTACCTCTGATTTTATTAATTATTCCTATATTTGCATATCTCCACTCATCTATTGACAGTGCATTCGGTTATAAACCACCACAAAGAATATTTTGATAAAACAATGTCTAAAAGACAACTCATCACAAAGGAAAGTATTAATGAATGAATGAAATTTAATTGGTATTGACTTTCTAGTCAACATTGGAGAGAGAAAAAAAAGAAAAGCATGCATCCCCATCTGGAAGGTGGCTTTGTCTGGAGCCCCTGGAGAAGAGGAAATGGCCGTGGGTAGGATGGATGCTCACTCCTCTGGATGCTCCCCTCTCCCTACTGACCTCATGGCACTGGATGGCACCACACACTTCCCAGAACCATGACTTCACCTCTTTCTCATAACGGTCACTGCTATGCAAACTGAAAACCATCTTTACGAGGTGAGCTGACAGAAATACAGTTAAATTATTTATCATGAGGCACAACCATATGGCTTGTGTTCAGCTTCTCCCTGAAAATGGAGCTCAAAGAAGAGTTCTCCCTCCCCCTCTCTCTCGCCCTCGGACCTCTTTTGCTGGAAGGGTAAGGAAAGGATCAGGTTCATGCAGTTTGGCCACAAGGAAAGGGGAGAGACCCACTCCGTTGGGCCGGGCCCTCTCCCGAGGCTCCTGCCTTACTTCATGGCCAGCCTTGCCGTGTGGGGCCCCCACAGAACTCCTCGCCTGTCTTCACTGCCCCCCGTGCTCCTCCTGCCATGTGGGAGGGGATACTGGACACCCCGCTCCCCACCAGCCTCTGACTGCAGCCTACAAAACCAAGCCTGGAACCCTGCAAACCCAGGAGCCAGCACAGCCTGGTGAGCACCTTAGCCCTCCCCACCCAGATACTTCAGTCACCCAAACTCCAAACTGAGGTCAGTGGGAAGAAATAAGGAACAAAACAAATGGAAGAGCCTGATAAGACCACAACTCAGTGAACTTGGGAGGGAGTGAACTTAGAAACGAACCTACTCTACAGGCTATGAAATCACCCCGGCCCCCGTATTGGCAGCTGGCTCCAGGCCTCTTTCTTTGATCAGAGGAGAGTGCGTATGCTGTAAAACCTTCAGCAGCCTTCTCAAGGAGGATCCGCTTTACTTTTGTTTTAACCCTGCATGTTTGCTGTGCCTGGACTTCTGCCCACAGGCTCTTAGGGAATCAAAAGCCGGGAAGGAAGGAAACGACTCTCCTTGAGTCCATCCTTCACACACCAAGAGCTTGCTGGCTGGCCGGTCTGCTTCTCGGTGAGAATGCCATGAGGTAACCTCTGAAAGCCAAGGCGGCCGGCAGCTGTAAAACCCCAGGTTTATTTATTTGTTCTTGGAAGAGTTTAAGCCACTAAATCACTGTTTAGTTGCAAATTTTTCATTAGCCTTTTTTTTTTTAACCTTTTAGGATACAAGTGGAGTCAGGGAAGCTCTCGTGAAGTTAAGGTTGAGATAAGGGGAGTTTGTGAACAGAGACCTTTTCCATACTGAACACAAAGTTTGCCTCTAACAACCAGGGCAGGAAAACCACTCATTATGGCAAATATGTTCACGGCAAGGGCACAGGTTTGTTTTTAACCCTGCAGATTTGCTCTGCCTGGACTTCTGCCCACAGGCTCTTAGGGAATCAAAGGCTGGGAAGGAAGGAAATGACTCTCCTTGAGAGAGACACCCTCAGAGTGGCAGAAAGATTGCTCACAAGCAAGGGCAAGATAACAGGTGTGTCTGAATTGAGGTCCGGTACTATGATCTGGCTATTTTTCTCCTGAAAAGTAGCCAGATCATAGTTTTTATAGAAATCCAAGTGGCAGCCCCTAAAGGCCAAGCAGCTTGTCTAGTTCAACAATATCCTCAGAGCAGCCGGTGTAGCTCAGTGGTAGCACACACTTCTCACACACTTGGTATGTGTGTGCGCCGAAAAAGAAATAAAAACTTAAGAATATTTTCCTCCCACCCACTAATGTTTTGCATTTAGTAAATATCTAATAAGTGAACATTGAATGAGTGTGTTCAGACCCTGGAGCCTCTGCTGAATCTCTCTTGTAAAAGTTTTCTGTATTTAAGAGAAAAAAAACTTCTGATCTTCCACGGGACAAAATGAGATTGCTGCCCAGACCACTGTGAACCCTGGGGATGCAGGTTTCATGCAGGGTTTACATTTGTTTTAACCTTGCATATTTTCATACCAAGGTGTCAACGTCTCCAGCTATGAGCCCAAGGGGTGGGGCTAGCTGATGTTGAAGGGCTGCTTCAGCTTTTTAAGTCTAAATTCTGAAAAACAAATAAAACACAGCATCTTCTGCAAAATCAGCAGAAAACAATTTCTCCATGAAAGCTTCTTCGACAAGAACAAGACAGAGTACCTTATTAGCTGAGACATCATTGTAGTATTTTCACCAAAAGAACTGTGGAAACCTCCATTGGCTTTATTATATTTATTTTTATTGTATTTTTTGCTTTCCATTTTTAGGAGAGATGGGGAGAAATACCTCTAAGAATGAGCATACATTCAGACTTCATTATTATAGTTAATCCATATTTCTATTCTAGTCCTAAACAAATAAAACTGGAGTTAAAAACAATGGCCCTACAATACTGACAATAACTCAATTATCCAGAGAAAATTTCAGATTACATGGAGTTTGTTCTATATTACATATTACATTAAGAAGATATGTAATAATGCTAACTTGGAATGGCAGTAAGATAGGAATTTTGTGGGGATTTACACCCAAATAACGTAAATCACCTAAATGAGTCAGGATCATGGACCTGAATAACATTTTGGGAAAGTGCCCTCTTGTGGCAAAAATATGGAATTGCCACATAGCAGTTTTGTCCTGATATCAAAAGTACTAGAGGAAGGGTAGCTGTGATTTATCGGGCATTTAATACATTTCAGGGACTGTCCTGGGTTTTTCCTGGAAAAAAGATAAAGGATTTAATAAAGGAAGTGTCAAGGTATAAGAGAATTAGAAGTCTTTTATTTCAAGTGAGCTCAAGCTGTCATTTATCTCAGTGAGTTCTATGGTTCAGATCTTGAGTAGCCCCAGTAGGCCCATGTGCTAGGGGCTTGGTCCCTAGCTTGGCACTACTGGGTGTAGTAACTCAAGGATATGGGGCTTAGTGGAAGGTCTTTGGGTCACTGGTGCTATGCTTTCCAAGGGATTATGGGAACTCAGTCTCTTTCCTTATTTTGCTTCTTGGCCAGGAGGTGAGCCTTAGTACCTTACCGCATGCTCCTCCCTAGAGCCTCACCACAGTCTCAAAGCGATGGCACCAGGCAATCATAGACTAACATCCCTGAAACTATGTGCCAAAATAAACTTCTCCCCTCTCTTTTTAAAAATGTTTCAGTGCTAAGGATCAAAGTAAGGCCTTCCACATGTGTTAGCACTCTTCTACTGAGCTACACCCCAGCCTAACTTTTACTCTTTATAAGTTGATTTATCTGAGGTATTTGTTATAGTGACAGAAGACTTCACACAGTTTTCTCCCTTGTGTATACCTGAAAACAGCATATTTTCTCACTCCTTTATTTATTGTACTTCCTTGGAATTCTGAACTGTGATCAAGAAACCTTGTAAGTCATACTTCATTTCCTGCTCACAGTTCCCTAATTTCAGGTTAGCAAAAATGAAAAGAGAAGACCCAAAAAAAGGAAGCAACACACACACATACAAAAAAAAAAACTGGTACAGGAGATGGAGAGAAATACAACTTAATACATTATAAAAACCTCCAGAAGTCCCAGGATCTTTAATTCAAACAAATTTACTTAACATCTGTGACTTGAGAGGCATTTAATGAACAGGAAAACACGTATTTATATCACTACAATTTGTATTTTTCAGTTACCTACTCTATCCCCATCTCTTTCAAGTTCTCTATGTGTCTTACACAGTCAGTTTCTGTATGTTAGCACCACATCTGATAAAACTGGTGGTCCATTCTCGAACGGTTTGTTGAGTAGTGCCAATGCTTACCACAAATCAGGCCTAGGAGACAAACATGTGCACATATTCAGATTCTGAGTGCTCAGCCCTTTCCTTTGAGTCCAGCACGGCCATGCCCTCACAAGACGCTGCAGATTCAAATGCATATCTGCTACTCAGTCCCAAGTTCTCATGTAGGAATGCAGGCTGTGAGCCTAGATCCTTGGAGTTGCTGAAGGGAACTAGAATGGCAGAGTTTTATGCAGAACTTCCTAAGTTTTAAATTTTAGAAATTTTAAATTTAAGGAAAAAAAAAAACTAGGTGTGAAACTGTAAACATGATGAAATAGATCTTCTGCCCAGTTGTTTCTGTCTGCCGTTCTCATCTTCTGTCCTTGGAACCATGAAGGCTGAAGTTCAAGCCACCCCTGGGGCACATCTTCTTGACAGGCATTGAGCACTGTGAGGTTGAAATTCCAGAAAAGGAAAGCTGCTCGGGATCTGTTGTTGTCTTTCCTACCTTTGTAGATCTCATCAGGACAAACACCACAGGATCTTACTCGTGAATTTCCCTTATTGGTTATTCTCATTTGTTTCCAAGAACATGAGAGTTTGTGATGTATATTGCAAAGCACTTCTTTACTCTCTCAGTAGCCATTTGGGGTCATATTCTTTTCTTTGTCTCTAAAATCTGAACTTCAGGCTGGGGATATAGCTCGTTAGTAGAGCACTTGCTAGCATGCATGAGGCCCTGGGTTTGATCCCCAGAAACATGAAGCAAAAACAAAACAATGCAGCTGACCTTCAAGAAGGTCACACTAGTTTTCTGGGTTAGGTTGATATCTCTAATGGGGACTGTGGAATCTTCTGGAAGACTGAGGCACCCCTTGATTAAGACACTGTACAAATTTGAATTTGGGTCAATGTGTCAGTATATTTTTGGCAATGTAAGGAGGCAGATATGACTCTGCCTTTTCACATCTTTCCTAATTAACTAAGGAAAAGGGAGATGTGACTAGGTTTTCATTGAGGAGTAGGTGTGCTCTGAGCATGTGTGGCTTTGGAATTTAATCCTCTGCTACTCTGCATAGGTTTAAAATGTATGCCGTTCATAAATTCTATAAGCACTGCCCTCACCCCAAAAACTCTTGGCTACAGAATTGTCCTGCATTGATACAGAGAAGGAAAAAGCAACAGGTACTGGGATTAGCCAGTAAAAAAAAAAAGGAAGCTCTACACTTTCTAGGAGGCATAGCTAAGAAGAAAATGTCTCCACTTGGAAAATGAAACTCCAATAGGAGATCAGGATAGATTCTGCATCACGCAGAGTCCCCAAGCCAGTTGGCAGAAGGATAACTACCACATTTTATACATACATACTTATATAATGAAACTTTACAAATTATAGTTTCAACATCTTGAGAGTCAGCATCTTGGTATTATGGTAGCTTTGCTCCTTTTTTTATTTGGTTTCTTTAAAAGATGAATGGAATAAGGGCTTTCCGAGACTTGGGATAGTCCTCAAACATCTTGAGGTAGAACCTAAAAGACAGGAAAGGAATAATCACAAATACAATGGAACAGCAGCCAACAGTCAAGGTCATTGTGTCTGAAACCCTGGTTATAAATTGACCTACAGTTATTTAGGGCCTGGCTCTTCCAGGTGGCCATTTGGGTATCCTTTTCTCTTTGTTGTAACCCATCTCTTATAAATGTTGACAATTCTTATGTTGAGAGTTAAAAAGGAATCACCAGTGACAGTGGTGATGGATGTACAACATTAACAAACACACCTAATGCCACTGAATTTTACACTTAAGAACTGTTAAGATGGCAAACTTTAAGATGTGTATATTAATTTACCAGAATTTTTTTAATGTAATGGAAAGAAGCACCATTTGGGTTCAGCTGAGAAATACAGGGAAACCAAAACTCCCAAAGACAATGGTCAAAGTTAATCCCAGATGGTTGGCCATATTCCCAGGAAAATATTCCTTCATGAAACCTAGGAATGCCCTTGTGTGATGGGTTCAATTCCCTCCTCCCCAAATATATACTGAAGTACTAACTCCCAGCATCTGGGAATGACCTTATTTTGGAACTAGGATCTTTGCAGACATAATAAATTAAAATGAGGTCATGCTGGAGCAACCTGGGCCTTGAATCCAATATGACAGGTGTCCTTAAAAGAAAAGGAAAAGAAACATAAGACAGAGACACACAGGAGGGACAGCCACATGAAGATGGAGGCATAGGTTACAGTGAGGCTGACACAGGTGCTGAGAGTTGGGACTTCAACTTGTTTTGGGGGACAAAATTGAACTCATACTACAGGGGCACCCAGTATGGCTGGCCACTACCAGGAGCTGGGATGAGGCAGGAAAGGATTCTTCCCTTAAGCCACCAGACAGCATGGCCCTGCCTGCAGTGAATTTCAAACTGCAGTGAATTTCTGTTGTTTCAAGCCACCCAGATTGTGGTCTTCTCTTATGGCAGCCTTAGGAAAGGGATGCATCTTGTAAAAAGCCTTTCTTCTTAGGTTAGGTAGGTCAAACCAACCTCTTTGCAGAATGTGCACTGGTTGGCTTCCCATTCTCTAGGGTCTTCTCAATCTGCCTGATTGACAGATTGGGTAACTCACTGGAGTTGCAGGGCCCTTGGAGGAGTTCCATCATTGGCTGCTTTTTCCTTGGCCCATTTACTTTCTTGACTGTAGTCTCCAAGTTTGGGGTTTTAAACATCCATCAGACCAGTTTTACCAGGTTTAAATGGGAGTAATGGGTTTTAATTTTATAGTTACCCCTTCCATTTAATTGGGGATCAATATTAGCACTGGAAGTTAGCCTTATTTCATGTCTGTCCCATCAGTGAAAGTTTATTATCTCAAATTAACTCAGGTTGTTCAATTAGAAAGAGTACCTCTGAAAAACATTAACGGGCAACAGCTGTAACGTTTTAAAGGAAAATACAAATTGAAATTACCAATAGCAGAAACATATTTAGTTTGGATAATGGCTATGATCCAAGAAACATAATTTTTTATAATTCTAAACCTTAGTTATATATTATATGTCCTGTTTATTTTGAGATCACAGTCATCTTTATGACAAAAATTTATCCTTTGAACATAACTTTAAAGAGCTTAAGTCTAGTCTACTTTGAAATCATCTTAACACTGAGTAAGATGAGAGGCAGAGTCTTGCTCAGATGAGGCGGAGCTCTTGACAAATCTTACATATAAGTGTTTTATTTCTGAAGCTGATCTTTACCTCTTTTTTTAAATCCCATTTTACAAAGTTTTTATAAACTGTATCCTGAGTCTATATGAATGTTAGTTAACATAACATTATATCTGAAACATGAATCAAACAAAAGCTAAGAAAGCTTTTAACACCCTTTTGTGGGAAAGTGGCAAAATGTTTTTATGTTTCACAATATTAACCTTTAAACAGATCAGGCTTTCAATATCTTTCAAAAGTACATTTAAATTTTCACCACAGTATAAAAAGTAACATGAATTTTACATATACCTTATTGATAACAAGTTCAGTTACAGAACGTTAAATGATATAAACAAGTCCCCAATTAAATCTGCTATTTCTATAAGTCTAAAATTACCATTACAGACAACATTAGTTTGGAGAACACCAAAGTTTTGTAAAGTGCCTTCCTAAACTTTATATTTTAAAACCTATACTAAAAGAACGTAAATGTATTCAGTATACAAAGAAGAACTAATAGTTAGCATCACATTACACAAATGCCCTTATATTAATTAGGTTTATTTTCACAATAGAATTCAGAATTTGCAGATAATTGCAAGCTTGTAGACTTCAATACTACTAGCAAAAATCAAGGATAGCCTTAAATCTCATAGACATTTAGGGAATGGTGTTAATGATCAGAACTAGACTTAGTCAAAGCAGATAGATCAGATAGACATAAGCCAGTTTTCCCAATGGCAGTGTGACCCTTTTATGCCAGATAAAAGAGAGCTCTTATTGGATAAATCCACATGAACTTTTATTTTTTTGAAGTATTTATTTTTTAGTTTTAGGTGCACACAACATCTTTATTTTTTTTAATGTGGTGCTGAGGATCAAACCCAGTGCCTCACGCATGCCAGGTGAGCGCATTACCACTTGAGCCACATCCCGAGCCCTGAACTTTTATTTTATAAACTTTTACAGAACATTTAGATAAAGCTCAGACAAACATATTTAGTTTCAGATGTATCTGTCTCTAGTATTGCTCTCAAGTCTTGCACTAATTAGCTCTCATCAGTGTGAGGTTTTTCAACAGGCAGAATAGGCACAGTAGATGTCTGGCAAAACTGAAGCAATACACATTTTAAACAATTGTCCAGAACAGAATGAATCCCCATTAATGCCTCTCTCTTAAGGGTTATTTTATTTTTTCCTGGGACAAGTTATTTCCTCCTAAAACAAATCTTGGTTAGGATAACATTGATCACCTTTCTCAGGGTCTCTTTGGCCTAAAAGGTCTTACTTACTTCTAGTAGACCTCCAGCACAGCAAGTCCTGTTTTCTTTTTCTAGAAGTTGTTGCTTTGGGGATGAGAATGTTATCTGTACATTTAATTTACATGACAAATTTTATCCTAAGAGAGGGATCACAGTCTGTCATATACAAAAAAAAAAAAAAAAAACTGTGCCTTAATCTTTTTTTCCTTCCAGTTTGCATTGAAGGGGTTTGAGCACAGGTATTGTTGTTTGACTAGTCTCCCTTAGCATCATCATAACGCCATCAACAAGTGAGTCCCCCACTGTCCCACTGTCAATTGCACCCAGAGTCTCTCTCTTTATATGCATATACATCTATGGCACTGTGTCCAGTGAAGGTCACATTGACCATTACAGAGATTTTTAGGGACCTGTCTCTGCAGAAATCATCAGGGCCCAGACAGAGATGCTTGCATACATGGCGACTCAGGAGGCCCTTGTATTTTAGCTCTGTGGGCAACAGGCAGGGTTACACCCAGAAATGTCCCCTGTCAGATGTCAAATGTCCCCTGGGTTACCCTGTCAGATCTTAAAAGAGGAGACTATTTTGTCCCCAGGTTACAATTTAATAGTGCTGGTACCCATTGCCAAGTTCTTTGTGACTGGCAGTTTTTACCATCCCCATCAGCCCCATAAAATAGATAGTGAATCAATGAGTGTAATGGGTGGCAAATAAGGTTTTTTCAAATGTAAAGGCAACCCTGGAAGGTTAAGCATTTGAGTCCACTTCTTTGTCCCAAAGTGGTGGGAAAATTGAAATGGGGGTGGACCTAAATGCAGGTTACAAAAAGTAACTTAAGGACTAAAAGTACCCAGCCAAATAGAAAGTCATGGGTCAAGCCACTAGCCTTGGTACTTTCCTAACATCTGTATAGCACAGATCCCAACAAACAGCCCCAACACGTTTTAGTGTCTGTTCAGCATGGACTCTGGTCAATGCCTTTGTCCAGAAGCCTTACGTCTCCAGACTAGTGTCCTCAATGGGCAAAGCTTTCCACCAGTTTCCCCCTCACATCCTGGGGAATTTCACTTTTTCTCCTCTCATTCAAAACTAATTTTATTTCTTTTATTTTTGTCCTCTGCCACCATCCACGGATTTCATTCTTTGAACTGATGAGACAAGAACCCAGAAAGAAATCAGTGAGGCCTACAGCCCACATAGATTTCATTTGTCTGCAAACTGAGCCTTGTTCTCAAACTCTGATTTTATTTCCATGGGCAAAGAACGGCTGGAAAGCAGGGTAGAGGCCAGGTCCTCTTTACCCATTTCTCTATAGACCAGGCAGCTTTCCTGGGATTTTTTCCCCCCTTATCCCAGGACTGGTGTCCCTGACCCACAGCAGGATGATTTGCAGCCGCCTGGGGCCAGGATGAGAAGCAGTGCTTAGACTGTCAGCACTAGGTTGAAAGGAATTAAAAAAAAATTTTTTTTTTAATCCTCTTTTGGTGTCCTGCTATATCCACACATTTGAGGCAGCACTTTTTTATATCCAACTTTGGTTTTGACTGTTAAGACTCCTTATTATGTAATTGCATATGTTCTTGTACATACAGAATCTTTCACTTATTTTACCTCTGACAGACCAACTCCCAACTGCAAGATTGTACAATAATTCAGAAAACCATTCGAAGACCAGATTGTTACAGTAAAACGTCATCTTTTTCTTAGGTTTATATCTATAGGTGACCCATTCAGCCATATGTTTCCCAAGAAACAACCTATAGGATCAAAACAGTATTAATACCCATGTCTTAAAGGGCCAGAAACAGATACAAACAAACAAAAAATAGAGACAGACAGAGACAATCCCCAAACCATGTCCAACAGATGGGAACCTTTAAAACAGAACCAATAGAGGAAAATCCCCCAAAGTTCCCAACTCCCACTTAACTATGACTTCTACACCACCGGTGCCACAGATGTCCCACAAAGGGGAAACGTGTGTAGAATCGAGGGTCTCAGTGTGCACCCCGAGGGAGCTTACTGAATGGCCAAGGTGTCACAACTTTACTGTGCTCAGTTTACTTTTTCTCAAAGTAGACCAAGATGGAGAAATCCATATAGTTCAGGGAAGGAAGGTGGGAGTTCCCTGAAGCAAAATGTGCTTCAGCAACTGCTGGAACAATCCCTCAGTCCCTCCCTCTACTCACAGGAATAGCTTCTTTGGTTCAACTCCAGGTACATTTGCCCATCTCCTAACTTCCCAGCAGTCAGTTCTCAAAAAAGTTGGCCTTACATCCTCAGCATGGAAGTTTGGTTGCTTGGAGTGCTGGGCCTGCCCAAGAAAGCCGGAGTGGGGGCTGCTCTCGGGTCCCACCTGGGTCACCAATTTTGTTACCAAAAGCTTGGTCCTTGTCCCCAATGCCAATTCATGCCAATTTAATCATGAGGACATGGTTTTGAGTAAAGGAAAACAGAAGGTTTAATCCTTTGTTAGCAAAGGAGAAACACTGTGGTTCTGCTCTTCAGGGAAAACAGAGGGCTTTGAAAGAAGCTCTTCAAAGGCTCCATTCCACGTGTGCCCTGAAGGTGTGTTGAAATTCACTTGTTAATTTGGGACACAGTCTCTTCCTAGATCTTCTAGTGACATCTCCTTCCTATGAAGCACAGATAACTCAAGGTAATCTAGTTCCCCAGGTCAGGAAGAAGGAGAGGGAGAAGAGAAAAAGAAAAATATGTCCCTTTAAAAATAAGCAGCAGGGCTGGGGTTGTCGCTTCATGGTGGAGTGCTTGCCTTGCACGTGTGAGGCCCTGGGTCCGATCCTCAGCACCATATAAACATAAATAAATAAAATAAAGGTATTGTACCCATCTACAACTACCAAAAGAAAATCTTAAAAAATAAAATAAATGAGCAGCCAGGGCTATATTCAAAAGGTAAAGTGGATCACTGTTTCAACATCCTCTCTGGGTCTCCAGGAATCACAGGCTTTCTCTTTCCCCAAAAGCCATTTGGGGAAATGGATATGAAGGTCACACTCAGGTTTAAAGTCAGATAACAACTTCATATGTCACCCTTTTTCCTTCCAGCGATACTTTCAGTTATCCCTTTTTGTCCCCACCCCACCCCTAGTGGGGTTAGTGAAGCTGTAGACGAGACCTGCAGAGGAAAGGGTCTAGATGCCTGCAATCCCAGCAATGACTAGCAGAGGGGACAGTCCAACAATTGCACACTCCACACAATTGCTTACTCTACCTTACCATAGCCTTGGCTATGAGAGATGGAGAGGGGTAAAGGAAGGAGGACAGTACCAGAAGAAGCCCAGCATTGGAAGATTCCAGAACAAATAATCCTTCTGCAGATTACAGGACTCTGTGATTACCTGAACTGTTAACACCAAGCCTTGAACTAAAACTAGCTCCCAAAAAGAACATCCACATAGACACCAAGAGTACTTCTTCCCAGAGGTTCTTTATCCAGGCTGTACCTCAGAATTATCTGCAATCCTTTGGGAGGTGCTGGCCCTGGTCTCCCCAACAGAACACACTTCCAGAATCATGGAGGAAGGGGACTGGGGCATGGAAATGAAGGTGACTTCTTTTGTCTCTTAACTCAGTATCTACAGCTTACTTACTGCCAAGTAGCACCCATCCCCAAGCACAGAACCCGGGTCAACAGTCACTTGCATACAAGGTGCCCTTGCTGGGAAGGCTTCTTCAAAGGGTAGACACAGCGGCTTCCCAACTGTCACCTTAGGGGCCTCCATCTACATGGGTTTGTTTTTGCTCTTAGAAAAATATTTACTGCTTGGGTCATCCAGTTAAATTGCAATGACAGCAAAATCCTTAAATTTCAGAATTTTACAGCCCAGATTATGGTATCTAATTTACCTTAAAAAAAGATAAATAAGGTTTCTAAATCAGACTCCCTGTGCTAGAAGGCATGTCTGGAGAGGAAAGCTACCTGGGTTCCACTGCGTTTATTGACAAGTTTACCTGTGGTGATGAGAAGCTCGCTGGCCAAGGTAACAAAGTGAGAAAAAGGCAAACGCAAGTCCTGGAGGGGACCACGTGGCCAAGGCATAGCCGATCCATTCAATGATCTCGCCAAGGTAATTGGCTCCAGAAACATATGTAAACAAACCACCTGTGTGCAGAAGAATCAGAAGGTCAATGATCAGAGCTGCATCCTTGTGACATTGTACCCCTCTATGTGTTGTTCCAGAACACATAAAGGTAGCTAGAACAAAGGTGGGGTTGGAGACTCCCATTACAAGCACAGGAGCTTTGTGGGGTTCTCCTGGATTATTTGTTCTGGAATCTTCCAATGTGTTAAAGGATTACTGAAACTGATCCATTCCCACCTGCTTATCTGTTTATCTCACACCCTCCTTTCTTGGGAATAATTAGGATTTCAAACATTCGGCATCTTCAAAATATTCAATATCTCCAAAAATATATACCCAGGTGCTGTATAACAATGCTTTAGTCAACATCAGATTGCTTATACAATGGTGACCCTTTAGATAATTATAGTGAATCATAGCCAGTGTAATCTCATACACAATGCACTACTTGTGTATTCATGGTGACGTTGGTGTAAAAAAACCTACCACACTGCCAGTCATATAAAAGTGTTGCACATTAAATTATGTACAGGACGTAATTTAATAAACTACTGTGCTATGTTCATAAATTTACTATGCTGTATTATTTGTTATTTTAGAATACCAAAAAATTAACTGTAAAACATTCTTAAGCAAGTATTCCCCAAAAAACAAACAAATCATTTTTATCATAGGAGATTAAAGCTAAATGTGTGTTATTACATGTAAGACTTTCCAAGGAGACAAGATATGAAGGTGGAAGGCATGATTTCAATGATTCTGAACCCATACAGACCTACGCTAATGTGTGTTTGTGTCTTAGTTTTTAACAAAAAAAGTTTGAAAGGTAAAAATATGCACAGTTAAAAAAAAATTAAAAGCCGGCTAGAGCCAAGGGATTTTAGTAGGCTACACTATCTAGGTTCTTGTGAGTGCATTCTATGATGTTGACACAGCAATAAAATCTTAAGCTTCATTTGTTAACTCAGAAAGGATTACACTCTAGGTGCAGAACTATCTTATCTACTACAACTAGACTGCAATCTACTCCTACCCTACCCACGCCTGGCACCCTCTTCCACATTCAGGATATTGTGATCTTGCTTTCTGATGATTCTTGTAGCTCTATTGAGCTTCAGGGTATATATGAGAAATGCAGATGTGCTGTGGAGGGAACAGGGAGTGGAGGAGAAGACAGGAGCAAGCCAGGACTTGTTGCATACTTGTGCATTTGATACTCTATCTCCACTTGTCAGAGCTTAATCCCTGGGACAGGCTCCAAGGGAGAGTGGGAACCTGGTGGGGTGGGGAAGGCATTACCTTGTGGAATCCTGTAGGTGATTTCTCCAGGCTTCCTGAGTTGGCGCAATATATAGTCACTGTGAATGTTGATTCCCATTCCCAAAATAAATAGGAAGATACCTTGGTAAATAAGAGAGAAAGAAAGTTGAAAAATGTGTCCTGATTTCGATATGTTTCAGACATGTTGTTTTTGTTTGTTTGTTTGTTTTCTAAAAAACGAAGGAATTAATGTAGGAATGGTACTCAGATATGGTCCCAAGTTTGGGGGGCGGGTGTGTTATTGTTCCCTAAACCAAAATGTTGACATACACCGTGATGCATGTCAGGTGGAGACAGGAGGGAGAAGAGAAGACAGCAAGAGGCAACAACATTGTGCCATACTTAAATAACTAATCAAATACATGAAAGAATAATAGTCAGCCTTGGGTTCATTCAAATCAACTGGTTGGCTAACTCAACAGGCATTCTACCTTCCTCTTTTTTGTCCACTATAGAGGCTGAAAATCTGAACGGTGATCAAATCCCCTAACTCTGCCTGAAAATGTAAGGGGGAATCTTCTAGGGACTTTCTTGGATATCTTTTGTTTTTCTGATAAAGGGAACAGACGGGACCAATGCTTCTACTTCCTCTTTCATCCTGACTCGATTGCAGATGTAATATCTTGAGCTGCAGCCAGTGTCTTGCAACTATAAAATGACTAAAATGAAGTCTACAGGTAAGACTACAGGTAAGAACAGTAGAGCATTAACATAGGAAGTGTCTGGGTTTTTAGTGGCATCAGTAAGCCACCAAAGGAACACAGAAGACAGCTTCCTTTGGAAACTTCTTGTTATGTAAAAAATATGAACATAGTATGTATACTCTTCATAGCTTTTTCATTTAATTTAACCACATATCCTGAAGGTGTCTCCATGAATATCATCCACTGGTACAGAAATAGTCCTGGTCTTGGGTAAGAAGTTCCAGGATCAAGCATGCTAGGTCCTTCATCCCAATGGGCAGTACTACAGTCCAGAAACATTCTCTGTCCCCACCTAGAGGCCCAACCACACTTCTCAATAAAATGTGTTTGTGCAGATCAAAATTCAGCAGGCAAAAATCAAGAAAAGTTTTAAGTAAAACAATCAGATCTAATTTCACTTAATTTGCTATGATGTGAAATCATGATTTTTCTACCTTCTCTTATCAAAATACCAATGACCTGGGCTGGGGATGTGGCTCAAGCGGTAGCACGCTCGCCTGGCATGCGTGCGGCCCGGGTTCGATCCTCAGCACCACATACAAAGATGTTGTGTCCACTGAAAACTAAAAAAAAAAATAAATATTAAAAATTCTCTCTCTCTCTCTCTCTCTCTCTCTCTCTCTCTCTCTAAAAAAAAATCAATGGACTAAAAGAAAGGTGACCTACCTAGGGCAGGAGGAAAGCAGGGAAAAGAGAATGCACAACAGTGGGGGATAAAAGGAACCTCGGACCAGCTGTCTGTGTGCCCTACAGTAAGTCACTCTGAAGATCGGCATTGGAGGTGTTTTTATGCATTACCATGAATTGAACTATGTAAGGAACAACCATCAACCATCTGTATAAAATTCCCCTAAAATCAGCATCCAAGCAAGAAGGGCTTTTTCTTCTAGCAGGCTTCTGGAGTAACTACCTTCCTTGCCTCAATATTTTATCTTTCCAACTTAACTGACCGGTCATAGGGTAAGCAGCCTGACTTGTTCCCATGACAAATTTGGTGAGCCAGCCAGGAGGACTGCTGCTTGTGGCACAGCCAGCGCCCAGGATGGGGGAAATCTCTGTACTAACTCTAATAGCTGCATTACCCCTTTTTATTCTGGGAACTCGCCCTTGTTTTCATCATTCATGGTGCAGGCTGACCAAGCACCTTGTGTTGATGCAAGCAATTGGCATTCAAGTGTTCCTTTAGTAGGCTCTTAGGCTGGGTAAGTCACTCTGATGTGCACACTGGGACGTCCCATTCTCTGCCATCTGGGCACTTCTGCCATTTACACTTGGTAGCATTTGTATAGGTGAGAATCTCACCATTTTAGCATTTCAGCCATTTGAAACTTGGTACTGAAAGGCAGTTGAGATCATTGTTGGACTTTGTACCCAGTTCTGGATCTCTGGTGCCTTTGAGCATATGTACTTACATGTCTCTACGTGTAAAAAAGAGATGAGATGCTAAAGAGCTCCCCTGCCCCAAGATAAAGAAAAGGAGAGAGAAGAAGAAAAAAAAAATCTTTTAAAACTCAACCTCTGTGTGACCTGAAAATTTTGGGTTAATTGTATGTCTATAATAATAAAATCTCCTAGGAAATTCTATTCAAATTGACTTACAGATAAATGAGTGAGCAAATGTGTTCATTTAAATTTATTGGTAAAATAAAAATTAAAATCTCTTCAGAATTGTAAGCATACATTTTTGTCTTGGTATCTATCTGACCAATCAGGATTGTACTTTTCTTTGTTAGATGTTTAAGATAAAAAGTCCTTTTTATACTGAAGAAAATTTAATTAGTACAAAAAAGAGATATTTTGGAACATGTAAAATAATACATTTAGTTTTTCTTGTTTTGTTAAAGGTATGTGTATATATGGGGGCAAGGCATTCCATGTATCTGAGTTTTATCTAAACATCACTCAAAAAATTGTAGAGTTGAAGATACGACGATTTAATTCATGACATGTAACCAATAAGTGTTCTCTTTTACACAATAGCCATCACATCTGAATGAATGTATAAAATGGTCATTACTAAGTTGTGATTTTTTTTTAATGGTTGGAGCCAGATTTGAAGGGTTCCTTTAGTTTTTCAACTTCTATAGAACTGTTTGAAAAGCAAAGCAATACTATCATAGTTATCCTACCAATACATAGGTTTTCTTTAAAAGTAAAAGCCAAATTGGTGTATTATAAAGGACTTGCATGTATCTGTGGTGCTGGTTATTACTGGCTATCTTGTACGTGAAGTGCATTTGCATTCCCCAAGTGTACAAGCCTTAAGCTTAGGAGAGTACTTTACCATGTTGATGCCCTCCAAATTAGACTTGTTGATAGCAATAGTCTTTACAGGTTTGTGTTTGTGTGATTTTAACTGTAGCATTTCACTGCTCCATGGCTTCCATCTTTACATGAAGATGACTAAACATGCCCAAACGTTACATTCCAAGCAGTGTTGTAATGCGAGCTCCCTTCGTGCTTGGAGCATAAAACTTGCTGCTCAACCATTGGTAGCTTATTTTAAAACTGTGATGTTTTTATTCTTTTTCTTCCTCCTTTCCTTCTCCCTGTCCCTAACAGCAGGAGAAACAAGATTAATACGTTTCCCATCCCAGTCTAAGATTTGTGTTCCTTGTTCACTAAAAGAATAAACTCCAGACCTGGGAACTGGAACCATGGTATTAGAAGTCAAGGCTAGGAGCACAAGCCTAGAAAGCTAAGCACATTGCTTTAAGAAGAACTCAGAGGAAGGAGGGTAAATATTTACACTGACTCAAAATATGCTTTCATAATAGCATTTGCACATTCAGCCATTTGGAAAGAGTGATCCTCACTGCCAAAAACAAGAACATTAAACATGCCCTTAAAATACCAGCATTGACAGGGGCCATGGCCAGACAAAAGCAAGCAGTAATCATGCACTGTTCCAGTCAGCAGAAGACTGGCCTTCCATGGGCAGGTGAAATCAGGCCAATATAGCCACCAAAAGAGCCACAAAGAGCAAACTGTTTATCAGCTCCCTGGTACCTCAGCTTGAATCAGACCAGTCTCCTTACATTGATGAGGATGGGAAATGGGCCACAGAGTAGAGTGTAGGCTCCTGGGATAGCGCTGCCAAGTGGAAAAACAGGATTCCCATGGGCTCATCCTCCTGCCTGAAGCACTGGTCTGGCACCTACATGAGAATGTTCACTGTGTAGGGAGCACCTTGGTGAATGTCATCAGGCCCTCATATGAGGGTCACAGATCCAGCTGCTTAGTGGCTAAATCAGAACTGTGTCATATATGCCCAGAACAATCCAAAGACTGAAAAGCAGCTTACTGTAAAAGGAACACAGCCCTTCAATGATTGGCAAGTAAACTGTATTCAAATACCCATTCCCTGGGAAAACTTCAGATATTTGCTTGTAAGAGAAGATACCTTTTCAAGATGGACTGAGGCTTGTCCCATCAGAACAACAATAATAAAAAGATTTGAAAGTAAAAAAGTTCTCTTGAAGAAGCTGATGCCAAGATATAGATTCTTTTTTGATAAGTACCTTATCTAATACTCAGATCATATTCTGATTTCCTCAGATGTCTCCCAGATCCCCCTTGGAAGTGGTTTGTGCAAACCAAGGTCCAATGTAAGGCCACATTTTACATCTGGATGTTATGTCTTTTAATTTTGACTCCTGCCTTTCTTCTTCTCCTCCTCCTCCTAATTCTTCTTGTTGTTTGTTTGTTTGTTTGTTTTAGGACTCTCACTCATTGAAGAGATTAGACCGTTGTCCTTCAGAATGTCCATTTTTCTAGATACGACTGGTTACTTTCTCATGGAGGTATTTCACTTGCCTGTGTCCCACACTTCCTGTGAACTGGCTATTTTCTTGTGTGGTTACATCACTAGTTGAGTATATGGTGAGATATACCCACCTGATCTCTTTACCCAGAGGCATGTAGGAGACTTTTATATTTCCAGTGTTTCCTTCCCAGTTACACACACACACACACACACACACGTTCCTCTATCCTATTTCTACATAAAAAATAGCATGCTATAAACACAGTTCACACTTTTATTTATTTTTATTTAACCACATATCCCAGAGGTGTCTCTGCATGAATGCACAGAGCACTCCCTTGTTTTTTTGGTTTTGCTTTGTTTTGTTTGTTTCTTTGTCTTTGTGTCTGTGGTGTGGTCTATGGTGGATATGCATCCATATTCATGCAACAAACCCTTTGGTCATTTGTGGGTTTGAGTGTTCACCCTGACTGCTATATGGAAAATGTAAGTAGGCTGTGGAAGGAAAGGATGGAGGCAGAAAACTGATTTTGGAGCTATGGAAGTCCAGGCAATTGTGGACTAAACAGAAATTAATACAGCTTAGGGAGAAGAGAGTCCAGTTGTCCCATGTTCTGGAGACAGATCCAGAAGTATAAAATTGATGGGTAGAATGTGATTTGTGATACTAAGAGGGATTAGGAATAATCTATATTGTCCTTTTTTTTTTGAGTCAAAACAGTATTCAAAGGAGTGAGCTTACAAAAAAATTGAAAAACAAACCAATGATCAATGTCTTCCATTCTTTTAGATAGGCAGTCAGGAAGTCTTTTTGAGGAGATGTGAATTGTTAGAGACCTCAATAAAGTGAGGACCAAGTTCCATAGACACATGCAGCACAGCATTCTAAGCAGGGGGAGAATCCTTCACAAAGGCTCTGGGCAGGACAGGCTAACTGTTTCCAGCACAGCAGGAAGGTCCTGGGGCTAGCCCAGGACATGAGGGAGAGAGAAGCAGGACCATGTGGCTGGAGCCTCGGAACAACTTTTTGGTTTCACAGGCTGTGGTAAGGAATATGCATATGGTCTTGAGAGCCATGGAAATCTATTAGAAGGGTCTGAGATCCCTCTATATGAGTTCCACACTGAGGGAAGACCAGGGGGGGAGGGAGGAGGAGAACAGGATCATTCAGAGGTTACCACAGTAGGATGGAGGGAGGCTGTGGTGATGTACACCTTGGAAAGGGGTATCAGCTGGGTAGTGGGTGAGAGCTGGTCAGATTCACTTACCCAGGCTAAACCGGATATCTGCGTACCACTCTTCAGGGTATTCTGCACAGTAAATCAGATAGTAGGCTTGAAGGAATCCATTTCCAACACAGAAGATACTTCCTCTGAAAAGGAAGACAACTGGAAAAGGTCTCCCTCTGGTGAGCAATGCATAAATAAAAGTCCTGGGATACAGGGAGGGAAAAGTTAGAATCTACCATCAAACAAGAAAAGAAAAGAAATACAGTCAAACAATGAGAGGACAGTGTTTAAAACAGATAACTACATTAAGTGCATTGTTACAGTTTTTCCTTAAATATATGCAATGGAAGAATGTTACTATCTGGTTCCAGAGTAACCATTTATGTTATTATTTGCTTTATTTCATTAAATTCATAGTAGCTACCATTCAGCATCTCATTTTATTCTCACAACAGTCTTGAAAGGTAAAAGCCATTCCATCCAGTAGTTAATAAATTAAATTTTATGAGCCTAGGGTTGGAGATTAGTTTTCTACAAATCTTGAAGTGAAATTTAATTTATACTAGACTGGAGCTGGGCATGGTGGTGCACACCTGTAATCCCAGCTGCCCAGGAGGCTGAGGAAGGAGGATTTCAAGTTTGGAGTAACTTGGTGAATCTCCATCTCAAAACAAAAGAAAAAAAAAATAGTGCTGGGGGTGTAGTTCAGTGGTAAGTGTGATCCTGAATTCAATCCCCAGTCCTGCAAATAGCAACAACAATAAGAATGATGATGAATAAAAATTTTACAAATATATTAGAAGAATAGTAAAGCCTGGTTTACCCACAAACAGCAGAACAGCATTTGGACAGCAGCCACTTGACCACAGGACTCTCTGTAATTTCTCTAGTATATTTATTTACTGATACTATAGCATCCCCTATAAAGTGGACAGTAGGATCCCTGGAAAAAAGAGACTCCTATAAATGTTACAAATTATGACTCTAGAGTCATCTAGAAAGAAGGGAATAAAAATAAAAGTACTCAAAAAAATGTACCCAAGACATGTGGCTAAATTCTGGACTTTTTATAATTTTTCATGGAGAGCAACATAAAAGTCAAACAGGAAAGTGTATAAACCTTTGTGAGAAGCTTAATGAATAACCACCAAATAAACACCCAGACAGAAAATAACTAAGAAAAACAACACCGTCACCACCCGAGGTCCCATGTGCCCTCCCTATTCTCAGTGCCCAGAAATAATGGCTATCTCACTTTTGTAATAATCATTACCTTCAGTTTCTTTACAATGCTATAACATTCATATGTATCCTTAAAAAAAGTTTATTTTGCTCATTTTTAATTCTGTATAAATAGAATCAAACTCTGTGATTCTTAGAAGATTCTGGACCTCCCCCCCGCCCGCATCATGCATATGAGGCTAAACACATTGCTGTGCCCAGCTATCGTTCATTCAGTTCCATTGTTGTATTCCCACCTCTGTTTAATAAAGTCTTTCACTTTATTTTACTTTGATGGATATTTGGGTGGTTTTTACACTGGGATTATTTTGTTTTAACTCCAAACTTCCCTGTTATTTTAATTATTTTCTTGTTATGTTTAAACCTTTGATTTTTCACAGTGTCCTTTGTTATAAGAGGTTTTATATGAATCTAACATATTTTTTTCTGATGCAAGTAAATTTACTAAATATCTATCCTCCACAATATGCATTGTCATTGGTGTTATATACTAACTTACCCCATGTGTCAGTTCTTCTTCTGGGTTTTTGGTTCTGTTCCATTGAAATATTTATTGCTAAGACCATACCGTTTTAGTCATCGTAGTTTGTGTGTATGTGTGTGCATTTCAATTAGTCAGAAAAAAGGGTTTCACTGTGGCATATTCACAGATGCAAATAACATACTTTGATCATATCCACCCTCTTTTACAGTCCCCCACCCTCCCTTTCCCTCCCCATGATCCCCTTCCTCTTAGAGTTTCCACCTTACACTCACTTTGTCTTTTCACCTCCCCCACCAGCTCCCATATATGAGAGAAAACAGTAAAACTTGTCATCTGCACTGACATTTTCAAAAGATATTCTGTCACTCCACATGGACAAGTGATACACCAAAAAAAGAGGCTTTATATACTTAAGTTTGGAATCACTGTGTTTATTTACATGTTCATGCCTTGGAGCCTCAACATACTTAAGCACATGGTGACTCTTCAAAGAACACACCAGGGTGCCACATTCATCATGGAACTAGAGCTCAACTCTGAAGAACAGCTTCCAAAATTTGACTGATGATCTTATGTTGACAGTTGGATTTTGAAGCTTTGAAAACCGTTATGGTTTGAACCTTGTATCCCAAAAGTTCATGGGTTGGAAACTTAACCCCAAAATTCATATGTTAATTGCTTTTGGAGATTAAACCATAGATGTGTGATTAACTTACTGAATAAATCAATCTATTCATGGATTAATGGGCTATTAAAGGAGTGGCTTTGTTATAGGAACAGCTCTCTGGTACATTAGTTCTGTCTAGCCATGCAATTCCTTCTGCCTTGTTATGATACAGAGAGAAGGCCCTCACCAGATGCTTAGTAGATGCTAGTAAGATGCTGTCTAGACTTCCCACTTTCCAAACCCATGACATAAGTAGACCTCTGTTCTTTACAAATTACACTGTATCCAGTACTTTGTTATAGTAGCAGAAAATGAACTAAGACAAGAACTGATACTTGATTTTGTAAATTTCACATCCATTGCATACAGATGTCATGAGAGTGAACACACACACACTACAAGCAACCCCACACACCTCCAAGCATTCATTGGACATTTGTAGAACAAAGAACAGACAAGGCTGGAGACTGTCATAGATGACCACAGTTACATTTCAAATATGGATTTCAGCTTCAAAGCCTGTGAGGTTTATCTTAGATCCCTCTATCAAAAGCAGGAAGCCTGAACTTCAGGTTAGAGAACTTGGGTCGTGGTTGCCTTACCTGGAAATGGAATGATAATTCCTTCCCTGTCACCTCCCAAGATTGCTACGAGGATCAAATTAGATAATCTACATAAAAGTATGTTTTGAACTGTAGAGTGGTTAGCAAACAGACAGAAATGAGGGTGTTGTGTTACATGGAAGCCAAATTTTATAGATTTAAAATAGTCAAGATGGTCTTGAGGAACTGTACTTCCCCCCTTAACAACAGAAGTTCCACCTCTCTCCTCTCTTGGCTTGAACATGGCCAACTCTATAGGAACAGAGACTCTCCACAGACATGATCAGATGCTAAACCTTCTCACCTCTACCATTCAGCCTCCTGGCCAGTTGCTGGATCATGAGGACTTTCAATTCTCTGTATTAAAGAGCTGAAGAGGAAAGAAAGGTCAGCTTCCAATTAAACCAAAACTAAAGCCACCGGTGGCTTCCCTCTGTCTGGGCTCAGGCCTCTAGGTCATCTGAAGAGTCCCTTCCTCCCTGCTCAGTCACAACAGCACCTACAATTCATTTCTTTAAGTAAACAATTGGCTTCTCTGTTTCTCACCTCCTTCAAAATACAAATACACTCAAGAGGAAAGACGAGGTTGTGTCTCTTATACTACCATGTGCATAAGCAAATTCAATTCAGGTTCTTTCCTCCTTCCCCAGAGGGAAATAGAGTAATTACGAAGTGGAAAGAGCAAGCATTTCTCAGTCAAAAAGGCCTTGCTTGAAGGGTTCTGCTCTTTCATAACTCCATGATCTTGGACAAATTTCTTCTTCTGTAAATTGAGGTTGATCATACTTCTTTATGATACTTTATAATTTCCTTAGATTATTATAAAAATTAAATAATGCAATGCAAGAAAAAGCATCTGACGTAGGATTTCTGCTAAATATTTGTTTCTTCTCAACCTCATGTCCCATGAGAGCTTTGGGAGCCTGAAGAGAGCTTAACCTCTCGAAGGTCACAGGCCCTGCGAAGCTACATAAAGTCATTAGAAAACAGTTGTTTGCCTCTGGATGAAGGTTCATCAGTGCTAACAGTGCTCCCCAAAAAAGTCAGAAGATAAAATCCAAAAACCAGAGCATGATGCTTCCAAATTATACAATGTACACACTCGACCCTTACCCTCTGGGCCTTCTAAGTCCAAATACAAAGTTCACAGTCACTGCATCTCCTCTGAAGAAGCATGCCTTAGTCAGGGTAGGCTCACTACTGTCACAAACAACTCCAAAGTACCAAAGCTTCCATGTACTAAAAGCTTGTTCCTAGCTGGCAGCAGAGCACAACACTGTGCAGGGGCAATGCTGTGCTCCGCAGTCATTCAGGACCCAGCCTCTCCCAGGGGATCTGCGACTTCTGACCAACAGACAAAGCACAGAGTGTGGACCATGTAGGTTTTCTTAGGGTCACACTTCAGGCTGGAAATGGCATAAATTTTTCCACTTGCATTTCTTTGCCTCTGACAACTGCAAGGGAGACTGGGAAATATTGCTTCCTGGGCTTTCCAGAGGAAAAAGGTAAAGAAGTTTGGTGCATATATCCCAGACAGAAGGTTCTAGAGTACTTGCTGTTAGAACGCTGGAGGTGGTTCAAAATAAGTGTCTCTATGTACAAAAAGATAAAAATGATCAAAAGGGGAAGAGTCAATTAGCCTGATAGGCTGCAAATCAGTACTGCAGAGCTTGAGGAGAGTTTCCTGTTTGCACCTCAGGACAACTTGAGATGCCATTTCTCTGGTCTCTTTAATCCCCTCCTATACTTCTAATGTCAATTTTAATTCTTTTATGTTGATTCTAATACAGAGACTGATAAGTACTCTTTAAATATAAAGTTTTCTATCACTGCTCAGTAAATATTCATTTGAGGGAACTCTCATTGTAAAGGGTTAACCAAAATTGCAAATCCAAATTAAACCAAAGGAAAAAACTTTGAAATTACACATCTTGCATAAACCAACTCATATTTAACTAAGTCTTTCTCAAATATAAATGCTATTGCTAAGATTATCAAGTCACCTGAAGACTTTTCACTATATGAAATTTTAGATTTCATTGTCAATCAAAATAAATTCAAATTTCATATACATAAATACAAAGTTTCCAGGTATTATAATTAGCTGTTCTATTATAGTAGTAACTCCTTCCTTGGCCCCATATCTTCTTTCATCCACTATCCCACTTTCATTCTCTCCTTTATAGCAAAACTCCTCCAAAGAGGTGT